GAATATTCATCAAGGGATATGAAAATCTTAGAATTGGGGAGCATAGAAATTATGGGACATAGGAATTTGGCAAGGTGGGAATTCAGGAACCTGATTTAGGGACGCAGATATTTGGAGATGTCGCAATTGGCTCTAGAGATTTGGGGGTTTAGAAGTTTGGGAATTTAAAGATCTGAAAATCGGAAGCTTTGTGGACATAGGAATTTGGGAATTTAGAGATTTGAAAAGCTGGAAACATGAGCGCTTTGGAAATCAAGGATTCAGAAATTCAGAACCTAGATATTTGGGTTCTAGATATTTCCTGAACAAACACTAATTGTCACATGTACATTGCACTATATTATAAGCATACATTATTTAACACCACAGGATACAAAACATTTGTCCATTACCAATATCTTATTTATCGAACTCAAAATCTCACAAAAATAAAAACACCCCAAAACAGCATAGTACTTTCTCGTAACATTACCAACCTAATACCATTGTCACAAGAAACAAACACATAGCGGTTTCCAACATTCCACGATAGAACAAGAGGAGCAAAAGATGAAGAGAGAGAGAAAAGGTCAAACGTGCGCAATCAGGTTCTCTTCTTCTTCACGCCACCTTCATTACTGTTCGTCCCTCGAAGGTTTACGGTCAGGGTATCTGTCCCTGTTACCCAGGTCGGTCACGATGACCCTTTCTACCTTGGAACAGTATCTTCTCCTCGAGCATCCAGGAACGTGTTCTTCCCTACTTAGAACTATATATTACATAATGCTTCATAACGACTTTCATTAACTCACGTCACGATATACGCGTTCATTATGTACGTATAAACAGTCCGTAGATTCGAGCGTAGATAAATATGGATAATTATTTCTGATTAATTAGCCCGGCGATCGTTTAAACCGTTCTGTTTTACAACTCTTTTTATCGATTATTTTAGTAGCCTGTTATTAACTTCAACATGTTTATACACTGACAAATCTGTGGGACTATTCTGGCGGTGCTTTTTTTTCGTTTTATGATTTGGGTGGTGATTAATACTTGTGAGGAATGGAATTTTAGGGGAATGGGGTATTTCTTATGGGAGACTGATGGAAATTGTGCTTTGGAATTTTGAAGATATTTTACTTTTATTTTGAAATTAAGAGATTAATGAGTTTCTGTATTTTTACATTTCTTTGCTTTTTATGTTGATATGTGCAAATTTTCAGATTTTTAAATATTGCTATTTTCAAGTGTTCAAATGTATAAATTATTGAATCAACTAATTACCTAAACTCCAAGTTTTCAAATTTCCATATTAAATTTTTAATTTTCAATTGTCAAATTTTTAATTTTCTCAAAATTCATATCTTTTACATGTACTAAAGTCTCAAAGTTGAACAGATTTAAAAATTTCGTACTTCAAAAATTAGAAAATTACAAAATCCCAAAATTACCAGAAAATGTCAAACTTTTTAAACCTTGAAATCCCAATATTCCCTTAATTAAAAATTTCCAAAAAGCTAAAATTCCAAAGTCTCAAAACTCAAAAATGTGAAAATCCTAATGTCTCAAATGTTCTAAAATTTGAAACCTCTAACATTCGGAACGTCCCAAAATTTCAAAATTTCAATATCCCAAAATCTCGAAATTTCCAAATCCTAGTATCCCAAAATTCCAAAATACCATCTCAAAAAACGAAACATTACGTGCTTATATAAAACCATAAAATTTTTCGTGAACCCTAAAAATCCAAATTCATTGTCCCCCGAAATGTGACCGCAGACTTTTAGAACACCCTGTATATACGTAAACGTCCACCCATCCCACTAAAGCATGAAACCCTCGAAAGATCTCTATCCGAGCCGTGAATACGAGCCGTTCATAATTCCGTGACAGGGAAACCCGTGGAGGGCACAGTAACCCAGGTCGTCATTTCTTCACGCCGCCCTCATTATTGTTCGTCCTTCGAGCTTTACGATCGCGGTGTTCCTCCATGTCCCTCAAATTGGTCACGACGAGGTCCTGGCTTTACGTTCGTTTCCATTCGTATACACCTTTGAATATCGACTGGAAAGGGACCGCCCGTTGGCTCCTCGACCAGCTGGTTCTCCGTTACACATTGGCCCACAAACGAAAATTTTGCCAAGGAATTTGTCGAAAGGATTAGAAGGGTAATATTTTCGTTGACGAAAATATTATATTTTTGATTTGGATGGTGAAAGTAGGAAGAGTAAATGTAGCTTTAAAGGCAAACTGAAATTCTACTTTCAAAAATGATTGTGGGTGCGTTTCTAGAATGGTCGTTTGGGCTTCAAGGATATTTTAGATTAGAATAAGTATTTAGACCTTCTAACAAGTTTGCTAAAATGTGCAAATGATGTGGGAATACAAAGTACTTGCAAATTTCAGGATAATCGTCTAAAACATAAAGTTCAGAATAATGTAAGAATATTCAAATTGCATATTTGTTATGCAATTGTCCAAAAGTTTTACATCCACCTCTACGAACTCAAGTTATTTATATCTACAAACTCATTTTGTTATTAAACAAAATATTGAAACTACATTACTACATTTAAAACTACATTGTTTTCTACATTTTATAAATTCATTTTTCATCAAATATCAGAACGTTATTTTATGAAAATGTGATATCCTGTTATTTTACCCCTATCAGATGCATCAGTTAGCACTATGGCTACAATATTAAAATAAACGAAAGAACTAAAAATATTACGTCTATTTTGTATTCAGTGATTTTTGACTACGCAAATTATTGATCGTGAACTTCAAACTGAAATGTACTAAAAATTCGAACAACATTTATAATATTAAAACCGTGAATGCGTCACGAGTCAGGCTCGTCTAAGTATGCCAAGGGATTAAAATGTATCACACATCGCAAAGTTATAGTTGAAAATTAATTGTCTATATGTCTTCCGTATATTATATAATAAATGTTCTTATCTTTTCAATATATAATAGATGTTCTTGTCTTTTCAATATATAATAGATATTCTTGTCCTTGTAAAATAGCACTATGATCTACAAATCATCTTACACACTATGACAAGTACAGAAGTACTGCAACAGTACAATTCATATTGGGCTCCCCACCCTTCAGACTGCCCGCTAGCTACTTTCTGGTACTTCTGACAATTTTTCCAGAGGTTTTGGCCCGTTTGAAGAAAGTTTGATTCTCTGACAAAAAGTTGTATCTAGCACGGTTTGACCCGTACATTTATAAACGTGAATGATCAGAATGGGATTTTATACTATTCTAACATCGAGACGCAAGCATCAAACCCTGATTAGTACTATAAAAAAGAATACTGATAAAGGCATACGCTATTTTCCCACTATCTTCAGAATGCAGGTTTTCGCACCAATTACGAGTAATATTTAATTTAATTCGACAGACTTCTCCTTTGAAAGGGCCTGTAAAAGCTAACTTTCGCCGGCGTACGGTTGAGAACCTTCTTGATAGCAGGCGACACGGGTGGTCTTCGGAGGCCGCGCCGTGGCGGAACGAGCAAATACGCCGTCGGCATTTTTGACGGTGAAATCTGACTAGGTGGGGTCCTGACGTACCCCGTGTCAGACGTCATCCTCGTGCCCTTCCTGCGTTGCTTTCCGATGAATACACGCATCCTCGGTTCGCGCTTTCGCTCTGTCACGTCCACGAGAACATACTCTTTTTCTTTTTGACAAACACACCAATTGTCATTGACAGTCTCTTTTATTGTTGCATTCCGACGTTTAATAATTTATTCCTGTTAACTTTTTACGTGGAAATCTTACAAAAGACTTGAGCTTCTGAAGCTGTTGCTATTCTTTGCTTTTAACAGCGCTGCCAAGAGTGCTGTTTCTTGCAAAGCTTAATTTGGGAGGTACTGAGAATGAGGTGACGGAATAGGTCCTTTAACATTGGTAGTAATATTCTAGTAATTCATGGATATCACTAGAAAGTGGTCAGTCGTTTAGGGTTAACAAGTAATGATTTCAATAGTCGTGTGTGCATAGAGAATAAGACTGAATTCGGCGTTAATTAATTTAGCTAAATAAGAAATATAAAAATGTTTGCTAGAGTGATGTCCATTATTATGAATGTACCATAAAGTGTAAAACAATAAAGTAATAAACTCATCCAAAAATAATACCTGGTTTGATATAATTTATATTGTGCATGTATACTATATGTAACTACAAATGTAACTGAACACATGTGTAGTTTGAATGTTCGATCAAACGTCAGGTAATAAATATAAAACTATGTTTGAATGTTCGATCAAACGTCAAGTAATAAATATAAAACTATGCATAAGAAGTCTGTATAGTTTAAAGACATGTTCGAACAAACGTCGGACCTCACTTTGGCAGACAGCGTGTTAAATAAACTGAAAAGTTGAATATCCCTGATGACTTATTTGGATAAGATCGATGGGGTTGTCGTATATAGTCGCGGTAGGGCGACGTTTCGAATCATAACAGAGCTATTTCCATGTGTTCTTCTCGGAACGCTTTCGTTGGTAGGCTGCCAGAAATTTTTCTCGGTATATCCGTAAAGCCGTAGAAACGTGTGTTACGACACCGGGACTCAGCTCGATGTTTCTCTTCGGGGAATCGTTCGGAGCATAAACATTACCGGGCCGTCGAAAGCTTAAAGTGGCACGAGTCGCGAATAAAGCGACCAACCAATCCCGATTAAGCTCGTGACTTAACATCGACTACCTCCTTCTTCAGGGTTCTTCGTCCAGGTAGCGAAGTTTCCCTTTGAAGAAAGACAACTGCGTTCCAAACCTGTATTTTAGAACGCGGCACCCGTTTGACGAATCGCAAGAAATTACAAGAAACGATTACACGAAGCGAAAAGAATGCCGTGCGTTTTCTTCCTTTTAGATTCGTACGATATTAGCGGGGAGACCCGGTTCGTCCGTTCCTTGGACAAGATTATCTTTCTCTCAGCTCCTTTTTTTTTACAGCGAAATTCACGCGTTCTGCTGTTTGTTTTTTGATCGTAGAGGGCGGAAGGCTGCAAAAAGAGCTAACCTACGCCTCGGAAGCACTGGGTGAAGCGGCCGCCTCGACGCACCAACTCGTCATCCAAACGCCAAGGCATTCCGGGGCGAATATTTTGCACCCTGCCGCACTCAAGGAACATTTAGCGATCCTGAAGGCGGCGACGCAGGTCACCGTACACCTGTTCGACATGTAAGCCCCCTTTTTTTATTGCTTTCTTTAGTTTTACTCGCCTCGGTCTACTAGACTCGGTTGGCGGGAAAGAGAGGGCGATTCGAATTCGATACGTTCGACTTTATATTATCTACATAATTGATTAAGCGATTTGATATATATGCTCGAAAACTGTTAATGGACTGCTAATTCTTTTGGTGCTTGTTTTATAAATTCTTAATTTTACAAGTTTTCATATTTTTAAATTATTAAAATTCGTACATTATCGAATTCTCAAAATCTTCAAGTTTTTAATTGTTAAATTTCCATATTGTATAGTTTTTGTGGCCGATTATCTAATTTTAAATTACCATGTCATTTGATATTGAAGTTTTAAATTAGAGAAATATATGTAAATTAAAAAGAAATCGCCGTATCTTTCCTGCGAATTTCGCGAACATCCCGTGTGTATCGACTCGCAGAGACAATCGCGATCGTTCGAATCTTTCCACGAGAATTCCTCGAGTCACTTATCGACAAGACACACGAGGGTTTCAAGTTTAAGGGATGCAAAACTTGTATTCATGGCTGCATGTGTTCGGTGTCTGTTGCAGCACGTGGAAGCTGAAAGACATGTGTTACGCGCTGAACATACCCAACTTCGACATGCACTACATCGACCAGGTAATTTAAAACTACCACTACTTTATATCTAGGTGATACGCGAGCGTGTGCGTGTGTCGGCTTACAGAATTCTGCTGTTCACGTATTCCGCTCGTGAACTACGATATCGCTTTTATTCTACGTACACTGTGACTTCAACATTTCCATTGGGAAATCTTGAAATCAACGACGGTTACGTGACTGTGATCGCGCTTCGATTCTCAAGGAAGCATCGATCGTTATCGGCTCCTTTGAATTTTATTTCGAGTTATTCCAATATGGTACCGATGTCGACTCATGAGTTGGTGCGTGAAGTTTGACTTGATTAGAGAAGCTACGGCACAATTGGTCGGAATAAAAAAATGGACGGCACTTAGGGAGGAACGGTGGGATGGGCGGAGCTTCTTTTAGGGTCTTACGCACCAACTATTGGGTTGACAACTGTACCTTATGTATTGCTCAAATATACCCCTCATATTTTCTATGATATGAGCTTTTAGAAATTATAGTCAGTATTCTTGAAAAACGTAATGTGTATAATATAGTGTAACATAAAATTGACATGGAGTTTTAACATATTTCCAGTAAATTTCAAGTTGGGTATGAAAAAATTAAAGAACGTGAGAAAGTTGAAAAAATAATGATTTTCATTGCTAATCCTTTTGTACTAAATTTTTTTGTTAAATACGCATTTTAAAATTGAAAATAAATAAGTAAATATACTGTTGCATCAAGTGTACAACTTTTCTTTATCTGAACAAAATATGATGATAGAAACGTACAAAATATTGTACAAGACGATTCTAATAGAAATATACAAAATATTGTACAAGATGATAATGAAAATATTATTTAAATACTTGTATAGTTCTCCAAAAAGACTACAAAATTTGTAAACTGTCATCCATTAAAAAAAAGTGAAAAATACTGTTAAATGTACAAAATACTTTAAAGCACAATGACAAAATGTTAAAATAAAAATATGAAATCTGAAACCATTTTGACCGGTAATTCAAGTGTTAAATATCGAAGTACTTTGCCTTATCGGTAGACCATTAGAGCAACGGAAACCAAGGTACAGAGAAAGGAGAAACAAGGGCAACGAGCTCATGAAATACTTATTTACTGCTCTCTGCTCACATTTGCGTATAATAAGGCCGAAGGAGGAGCAGCAACACGGACCACACATGACACAGTGTGCTGCGGTCCATGTCGATACTCCGTTATTACACCAAGCTAATTGCACCGCCGTTCATTTAGTTTTAATGTTTGCTCCACGTTCTACGATTTTCCCTTTTTACGGTATCTAAAAAGACCCTTCCATTTACGAATTCAATCTGAACGAGATGCAATCAAGATTAAGGTTTAATCGGTACATTTTTATTACATTGATACGAATCAGTTATTTGACATTGTGAAAAAAAGTAAAATTAGGAACATGTAAAAATGTATCGGTTAAAATTGTCCCACTTGCTGTTTTAATTAATATTTACGAGTGATGATATAAATTATTATAGCCCCTTTTTGGTAATTTTGATTCGATTACTCTTGAACGAAGTTAGTAATAATACTACTACTACTAATAATAATAATAAGGTAATAATTCTATTATAGTTTAACAAAATTATGCTTATAAGTACAAGTTTGCATTTTAAACTTCTCTTACGTTCTAACAATTTGTAATTAATATTAATACATGATTTGTAATTAATAAATGAGCTAATTTCTCCCAGTACAAGGAACATAATTTTCACTCTAAAAATGTAAGACAAAAATTCTCTAATTACATTTTAAAATCATACATGCATTATTTATGTAATCATCCTAATAAAACTTTGACCTTCAAATGCATCACGAATACTATTTTGCAATATTTTTATCTCATGAAATTCACATCACACTTCATACTTTTTAACTAAATTCGAGTTTCTGAATCTGCTACCTAGAATCGATCAAATCGGACATTCACAAGTTACATTTCCAGTGTTATTATCCGGAATAATAGTTCGATATTGATGTTCCTCGAATTCTATCCAAATTCATATTATTCGTAAATCAAGGGAGCCGAAAAAACGAAACGCTTCAGTTGAGAGACCGCCCTATTCGAGTTTCTTAGAACGCATAGGTGGTCTCTCATAATGTCCTGCTACCAAGAAAAACCTTATGGCGATCGTTAGTGTCCACTATCGAAGAAAAGCAGATATTCATCGTAAATCGGAGCCAAGAACGCGCATCACTCGCCATTAAGTAATTCTGTTGATTAACCTGCTAACGGGATGATTTTTTCATCCAGAAGAAGTCATTTCTCTTTATTGCGTGCAATAAAAGAAGCACTTATTATATGCACGAGTAGATTTATCTGGTTCGTAACGAAGACATATACGATGTTTCTTTTTAATTTTAACCCTTGGCATGTGAAGGTTAAATGTTGGGTGAAATGATTATCAGGGGACAGCAATGTTTTATATTGTAAGATATTATTATATTGTGCTTTGTTGAATTATTTTTAGTCGTAAATAGGTTTTCTAATTTTTCATATTCTGATGGTTCTTCAGATCTGACTTGAGTCGTACATTAACAAATTTTGGATTTTCAAATTTTTAAGTCTAAGTTTGCAAATTTTTGAATGTCCAAATTTTCAAATTCACAAAATTATAAAAATTATGCAAATTAAAAAAGTGTTAAGTTCTTAAAATTCCCAAATCTTCAACTTCCAAAGTTCTTTAACTTTGCAAAATTCTAAAATCCTAAAATTCTCAAATCTCCAAATTCTAAGATTCTCAAATTTCTATGTGCAAATTCTGAAATTCTCAAACTCCTCAATTTCTCGTTTCATAAGCTCTAAAAATTTCCAAATTCTGGAAATAAATTTCCCGAATTCCATAATTCTCACAAATTCTCAAATTTCTAAAATTTAAAAATTCTCATTTTTTAAATTCTCCAATTTCCCAATTCTCAACCTTAGAAAATTTGCAAATCCTAAAAATAAATTCCTGAAATTCCTAAAATTCCTAAGAATTTTTAAAATTCCCAAAATTCCTAAAATTACTAAAATTCCTTATATTCTTAAAATTCCTAAAATTCCTAAAATTCCTAAAATTCCTAGAATTCCTAAAATTTTTAAAATTCTTAAAATTCCAAGTTTCTAAATTCTCCAATCCCCTAAATTTCCAAATTCTAAAATTTCATTGACTCCCTTTAAATCTACGTTTACCCATAAAATTAATCAATAGAAAAAAATTCCTATCACCGTATTTTTATCAGAAAGAAAATACATTTTAGAATCTCCAAATAACCCCACGTTCATATGCTAAGGGATAATAAAGATATTAAAGAGTACTCGTTTTTCTCTACTGCAATTTGATCCGTCGATCGACAAGTTAATTCGTCGTGGCCTGTTAGCAGATTAAATACGTTAGAACGCTGTAATTTAAATCGGCAAAAAAATGAAAATTGCATTCAATCGAATACATGATACACGTATTAATTGGTCGATCGATTGGTTATTCGATTCGGCTGAATCGATCGTTTCGTAATTTTCCAATTATATCGCAATAGTTATTTGCTTGGGGAATTTCTTCAACAAGTATGATTTTTTTTAGATATTCGACAGTATCATACCGTGCGCCATCATTACTCCGCTTGACTGTTTCTGGGAAGGCAGTAAACTCTTGGGTCCAGAATATCCTGTCCACATACCGTAAGTACAATAAGAGCACCTTTTTCCTTTGCAAATTGGTAGTTGCGAGCATTTTGTAATCTCTACTCGATCGTTCGGTAGCCAAGTAAACCTTAACCCCTTTTAACAATCTCTGAACTCCAAAAAAATGTAGCTTTATGTACCTACGAATCTTCATTCTTACATTCGATAGACGAAATTAATTTTTTTGGAATAATTATTTGATTATTTACAAAATTAGGAAATAGTCTCTAAGACTTGAAATATACAGACTTCGACCAAATATTAGACTTCGAAACTTATTTTGATATAAATTGCAAATAGTTAATTTGAAGCATACATTATTTAATTAGATAAATTATTGTACTGTTTGAAAAAATTGAATCAAATAATTTGTTTAGTGGAACGCAAACGAACAAGCCGGTTCAATGGACAAATCTAAACCCATTCGGTATGTTGGACGAGATGAAGAAGCTCCGGTTCATGTTTCCCTTTAAAATTCTGGAAGACTACATGAAGAGAGCCGGGATAACGAACGGCTACCAAAGTAAACCTTGTCTGGACCCAACGGACCCGGAGTGCCCGGAAACAGCGCCCAACAAAAAATCCCAACAGGTAAGCAACCGACCAAGCAAACGCTGTCTTCGAAATATGCGAGACAAACTCGGGTATCGACCGATTAAGGTGAAAGTCCTGCATAATTATTGATACACGCGTTCGTAACTTTACTTTTTGATATCGAGCATGGAACGTGCGGCGCCAACAAATTTATATTGAATTGCGCAAAAAAGGGGTTCAAATTGACTCGCTGTTAATACTTACCTTTTTAACGTACTTAGAATTCTTCCTCTTTCTGTCTATGGTCGTTTTTGTCTTTTATTTTAAACAATATATTGGAAACTCGCGTTATATTACCCACTGAGACATGTAAATATTCATATGTGAAGTTACTGTTTTGAATTATCGCGAGTTAGATCGGCATGTGTTAAATTGCCACACATTGCATTATTAGATCGCCACGCATTGATTCACCGCGCGTTATATTGCCACGTGTTGAATTACTGTGTTAGATCGCAACGGTTTGAATTACTACGCGTTATATTGCCACGTGTGGACTTGCCACGCGTTATATCGCCACGTGTGGACTTGCCACGCGTTATATCGCCACGTGTGGACTTGCCACGCGTTATATCGCCACGTGTGGACTTGCCACGCGTTATATCGCCACGTGTGGACTTGCCACGCGTTATATCGCCACGTGTGGACTTGCCACGCGTTATATCGCCACGTGTGGACTTGCCACGCGTTATATCGCCACGTGTGGACTTGCCACGCGTTATATCGCCACGTGTGGACTTGCCACGCGTTATATCGCCACGTGTGGACTTGCCACGCGTTATATCGCCACGTGTGGACTTGCCACGCGTTATATCGCCACGTGTGGACTTGCCACGCGTTATATCGCCACGTGTGGACTTGCCACGCGTTATATCGCCACGTGTGGACTTGCCACGCGTTATATCGCCACGTGTGGACTTGCCACGCGTTATATCGCCACGTGTGGACTTGCCACGCGTTATATCGCCACGTGTGGACTTGCCACGCGTTATATCGCCACGTGTGGACTTGCCACGCGTTATATCGCCACGTGTGGACTTGCCACGCGTTATATCGCCACGTGTGGACTTGCCACGCGTTATATCGCCACGTGTGGACTTGCCACGCGTTATATCGCCACGTGTGGACTTGCCACGCGTTATATCGCCACGTGTGGACTTGCCACGCGTTATATCGCCACGTGTGGACTTGCCACGCGTTATATCGCCACGTGTGGACTTGCCACGCGTTATATCGCCACGTGTGGACTTGCCACGCGTTATATCGCCACGTGTGGACTTGCCACGCGTTATATCGCCACGTGTGGACTTGCCACGCGTTATATCGCCACAAATCGATTTACTACGCGTTAAATCGCCACGCGTCTATTTACCTCGAGTTATATCGCCACGCATTGACTTATCGCGTGTTATATTGCCACGCGTTGATTTACTACGCGTTAGATCACTACGCATTGACTTACCACGCGTTATATCGCCACGAATTGAATTACTACGCGTTAAATCGCCAAGCGTCCACTTATCTCACGTTATATCGCCATGTATTGACTTACCACGCGTTGTATCGCCCCGCGTTGACTTACTACGCATTATATCGCTATATGTCAGATTACCACGTGTTATATCACCACATGTTGACTTACCACGCGTTATATTGCCACGCGTTGACTTATCGCGCATTATATTGCCATATATTGAATTATGACGCGCGAGGTCGCAACTCGTTTAATTACCATGTGTTACATGACCCTCATTGGATTTCTATACATTAGATCTGTACGTTTTAGATCGCCACGCGTTATATTGCCATACGATACGCCGTTACACGGTAAATTGCTTTTACAATACCGAATTATTGTACAGTATTAAATATGCACTAAGAGCTGAATTAACACGCGTTGACTTATTACGCCTTATATCGCCAAGCGTATAAATTACCATATATCACCGTGGCATGGAATATCTCCACATCTCCATACAGTAGTCTCCACTTGCTAAATCGTATTTAAATAACTCATCACGCATCGAATCGCCACTGTTTCCATTCTTTAATCCCTATTCATGGCAATATATCGAGAGTTGACCGTACAAGAATACCGGCTCGTAGCAATGAAATTGCTGAAGCAATGAGACACGATGAGACAATATAGAGAAGGTTGGACGCTAAGATCCGTTCATAGGATCAATGTCCAGAATAATAAGAAGCCACTTGGAATTCTGCGGTCGATGACGACCGGTTGCGTGCACGTAGCGAGTCCGGTAGGTCCCGGACAGCGACGTCGATTCCGCTTTGATGTTCGAAGAATATTCCGGAGCCGGCGACTGCAGTAATGAATATTTAATTGAGCATACCCGACGACTGTGTGTATGTGAGTACGTACGGTGCGATCGAAATCGAGAATTTCACATCGCGCAAAATCGAAGGGGAATGCCGATTATCCTCTCCTCGCGTTACTTTGCAGGCGGCTACTGGTCAAAACGAAATGGGGTAGATATTACCGTTTAGCGTATGGTACCGTACTGTCGGACTTTCGGACATTTTTTAATTGAAACAGCATGATGCTTACAGTTTGTGTAACATTTATTACGGTAAAATTAATGAGGCTTGTTCAGGCAAAAGATATTCGAGACCTCCTGAAAGAGTTAATGAGTCATCTTTCAGCGAAATAGCGCGAAATTTAATTTGTAAAGGAGGGTATACTTTAAGTGGAAGATATAACGATTCGTTTCTATTTGTATATTAGCAGTTTTTAATTTTTAAATTTATTTGCTTTCTCTGTCTTTGCAATCTTACATTTGAAAGCAACAAAAAGTCTTATAAATATTTTAAAGTTTTTAAATGTTTTTAAAAATAAATAACTAAGTTTTACAATATATTTTCGTAAAAAAGTGTTGTTGACTCTCAACGGTTTTCAACAGGAAACAGACATTGAAATTGCGAGAGGAAATGGAAAGACGAACAATGATGTTTGTACAAGTCGCGTGGGCCGTGTCCAGAGGTACATTAAAATAATAAAATCAAAAGATGTGCGTCATTATAGCACTACGTTGGTGGTTGCCATTACACACGAGCATTACGTACACTTTTTCGCTGCAGACACCATTACGTGCTTATCGCGTCAGTGTCAATAACCCTTTTCCTACGGAGGGCGTAGCCTCCAAAAACATACAGTCGTTGGCAAACATGTACACTAAAAAATTCAGGAACTTGTGTTACTCGACGAGAGGAGCAATTAATTGCAATGTTAGTTATAATTAGTATTGTTTAATTTAATTAAATTGGAAAAGATTTGTGACTTTCGGAAAGTGATATAAAATATAATTTCTTCTATAGATTTATTTATAGCCACTTTAGAATTTTGAACACTATAATAAAATTTAGGAATTTGGGAATTTAAAAATTAGAAATATTGAAATTTGAGATTGAGGGATTTAGAAATTTGGAATCTAGAAATTTAATAATTACAAATTACCAAGTTTAAGAATTTGAGAATTTAAAAATTAGAAACATTGAAATTTGAGAATTGAGGTATTTAAAAACTACAAATTTTCAAAATTTTGAAATTTCAAAATTTAAAAATACAAATTTCTAACGTTAGGAATTTAAAAATTACAAATTTCTAAATTTAGGAATTTGGGAATTTGGGAATTTGAAAATTTGGAAATTTAAAAGTTTTAAATTTAGCAATTCGGAAATTTGGAAATTTGGAAATTTGGGAATTTGGGAATTTGGAAATTTGGGATTTTCGGAATTTGAAAATTTAGGAATTTGGAAATTTGGAAATTTAAAAATTTCAAATTTAGCAATTTGGAAATTTGGAAATTTGGGATTTTAGGAAGTTGGGAATTTGGGAACTTGGGAATTTGGAAATTTAGGATTTTAGGAAATTGGGAACTGGGGAATTTGGGAATTTGGAAATTTGGGGTTTTGGGATTTTGGGAATTTGGGAATTTGGGAATTTTGAAATTTTGAAATTTTGAAATTTAAGAATTTCAAATTTAGCAATTTGGAAATTTGTGAATTTGGAAATTTGGGAACTTGGAAATTTAGGATTTTAGGAAATTGGGAACTGGGGAATTTGGAAATTTGGAAATTTGGGATTTTAGGAATTTGGGAATTTGGGAATTTTGAAATTTTGAAATTTAAGAATTTCAAATTTAGCAATTTGGAAATTTGGGAACTTGGGAATTTGGAAATTTGGGAACTTGGGAACTTGGGAACTTGGGAATATGGGGATTTGGAAATTTAAAAGTTACAAATTTTCAAATTTAGAAATTTGGGAGTTTAAAAATTTCAAAATTAAAAATTTTCAGGAATTTAATAACTTAAAAGTTACAAATACACAAATTGTCAATACTTCAAATTTCCAAATTTAAAAATTTGAAATTTCCCAATTTTTTACAGCACTTTAATTATAAAGTCTAAATACAAATCAACCAAAGAATAATATAAAAATCCAGACAAAAATTTACAAATCAATACTCCATTTTTTCATCAGCACCTAAAAAGACGTTTCGTCACCAATACTATCGATAATCAAAATAAAATTCAGGTCACGATAATGATTTTTCGTAAGCTGAAACATCGGGGTCACCAATAATGATTATTCGTAACCAAAAAGAATCCTGGTCATTTATATTAATCACCATCGGCAGTGAAATTAAATTTCCATCACTGCTAGTGCTTATTCATGAGCAAAATAAAATTCCCGTGTTCGATAACGACGGTCGATAATAATAAGAAAACTGAATCATTCATAACAGTTATTTGCAACAAAAATCGTGTAATTGTAGATATTAACTCTTATACCATAACTTTGAAAATCTCTCGTATAACAGTTATTATGTCCAATATTTTTCGAGGCCCGCGATCCCGAACTCGTTAAACGTATTGCTCCATGTATCTTCATCTCGCAAAGATATGACCCTCTCAAAATGCAATTTCTTTTTTTCCCGCGCTTTGAGCACATCCGCAGAGATTACCTCTTCGTTCTGCCG